TTCTTAGTTTCACTCCCAAAAGAAAGGAAAATTAAAACTCCATTAAAGAAACATTTTTTTGCTCAGAGATAAGAAAATTTGATAGCTCACTCTGTTGGTGAAAGTGAGAGAGAAAAGTCGCTCCCACACTGTCATACACGCTTGGCGGGAGTATCACTTGGCACAGGGCTACGGAGGGCAGTCTACATGAGCTAACAAAATTATGATGCATATAGCTTCAGAACCCGCAATTCCACTGCTAGGAATTTATCTGCTGATATACTCTTATTTGTGCAATGTTATTTTTTACAAGGAAACATATTGTGCAAAGGATACTGTACATTGCAACATGGTTTGTAATCACAAAATACTGGAAATAACCTAGATATCCATCAATAGAGGCTGGTCAAACAAATTATGATAAACCCACATAGCGGAATATTATGCAATTATTTAAAAAATCTTAATGTACTCGTCGGGCATGGTGGCTCACACCTGTAATGCCAGTACTTTGGGAGGCCAAGGTGGGTGGATCACCTGAGGTCAGGAGTTCAAGACCAGCCTGACCAATATGGTGAAACTCCCGTCTCTACCAAAAACGCAAAAATTAGCCTGGCATGGTGGTGTGCACCTCTACTCTCAGCTACTCGGGAGGCTGAGACAGGAGAATTGCTTGAAGCCAGGAGGAAGAGGTTGCAGTGAGCTGAGATCATGCCACTGCACCCCAGCCTAGACAACAGAGCAAGACTCCGTCTCAAAAAAAAAAAACCAAAAACCTTAATGTACTGATATGGAAGGTTCTTTCAGAGATATACATATATAATTTTTTTACAACATTGACATTTTTTCATACTTCAATACACTAAGTGTATTTTTCTTTAGTGTATTTTTTATGTTCTTTGTTGATCTTTTAGGATTCTAACATTTTTACTATTTTCAATGAGCTCTACATAGAACAGATATTAACTATTTGTCAGGTTTGCTGTAAGTGTGCTTTTCCCATGCGGTTTATTTGTAGTTTTATTTTAGTTATAATAACTTTTTATATGAAAATGTGTTAATCTTTTCTTTTGTAATTCATTTAATCTCTTCTTTCTTTGCCTAAAAAACTATCTCCTTTTAGAGGTTTAATAAATATTCAATTCCATTTTCTTCCGGATTTTCTTGGTTTGTTTCAAACGTATTTTATTTATTATTCCATCAGTAATTTATTTTGTGATATGTTCATCTAAATCATTTTTTTCCCCAAAATAACTTATTCCTATTCTATTTAATGAATGAGCTTTTCTTTACCAACTTATGAGGCCACATTTATCCTGTCTTAAACTCGCATAGAACAGGCATATTTTGCTACATTGATTTCTCCATTCACTATTTGTTTAGTTCCAAATAGTAAGTAGCAATAACTTCAGAATCTTTTCTTTGTAAAGATTTCCAAAAATAAAGACTCCTAGTTTCCTAAGTGGCCAGCTCCAATGTTTTATCACAGGTCTCCAAGGAGCAATAAATTGCGTAGTACCATAAACTTTCAGCAGAGGAAGAGCTGACTGGATTAGGCACCATGAGCATCTCAATCCTACCAGCACAAAAAGAAGGAAGCGGGGCAAACCTTCTTTGAGGCTACAAATTCCATCTACAGTAAAATCCAAGGAAACGATCCTATCATTGCACTAGAATCTCCTATCAAATTGTTGGGAAAACGCAGGTATCTGCTTTTGTTAGAGATGTAGACTGTGATGGTGTTCATTCAAAGATCTGACCTGTGAAAAGGTCAGAGGAGAAAGAAACCAGAGACGGAACGGAAACACAGCACACAGCTTTCTGAAGAATGTGTGGGTTGCATCTCTGAGTGGTCACCCTGCTGGAGAACGGGGATCCTGATGTGTCCCACGGCACCCCAAATAAGCCACCAAATGTTCAGGGAGCTTTCGTGATGGGGTGGGATTTCAGTAGATATTTATTTGCTAGAATGGGAAGACTTAGCTGTGATGCAGAGTATTAGCAATGACACAGCACAATCTGAGAAC